GGGGGGGGGGTACAGGCGAAAAACGTTTTTGTGAAGCGAAAAATTATTTTCCCGCTGGTGGGCACTCCCTTAACAAGTCCGGCACCCCCCTTGGGAAATTCCTGGCTACGGGCCTGTGCTGGCTACGCCACTGGTTAGCACACATTGTTTCCAATAAAAATGAAATAAGAAAGACGCCAAAGATCGAACATTCAAAAACATATAGAAGAGCAGACAAGAGGAAGAAGAGACAAGTGGGATTCTAGATTTAAAATGTATGATACATGTTAAAAACAATCTATTTAAGATTGATTACTTTTTTCTATTTTGATCGTGTATGATGGTAAACAGTTACGTACCTTATTTTGACTGTGTCTTAACTGTTGACTATAGAAACATGAAAATAAATAACTCCCCTCAAGGATTTTTCACAAGAAGAATTTTATTCTGTTCTGTTGCTTGTTTCTTCTGATCTTCCTCTTGCTGCTTGTTGAGAAATTATCCTTTCAACAATTATTAACGAGTCAAGTTGTTGTGAAAGAAAAAAGAAACATTATGCACTACAATGATTCGACTGATGACGAAAACAGACACGAATTACTGAAAACATGTCGAAACATCTTAAATCGTGGTTTATTTCCGTTCGGGTATGAGTGTAGGAGTGAATGAGTAAGAATGACAACGAGATTCATTCACATCTTAATCCATACTGAAATATCCACACCTACACCCCACACCCACCCACACCCATAAACAATCTCTGCATCAGACTTTTTTTCTCACCCTGAAGATGAAAGTGGAATGAAGCGTTTCTCTTTTACTTGATTTCATCGAACGAAAATTCCAACAAACAATATTTTTTTTCTTTGTCTCTGTTTACTTTATTTCAGTCATCGCCTGATGTAAGAAGAAAGCAAAACTTTCGAGAATGGTGTGCTTGCTTTGCAAGCAAAGATCAAACAGATGCAAATAAATTGGTAGGTGTGTGGCTCTGTTTATGCTAGCAAGTGAAGCATACAGTCGTTTTTCATCTTTTTTGTTTTGTTGTTGGTATCTTCTGCAAGACGATGAATTTCGTCTATCCATATTCTAACTAACGTCATATAATTTCTTGTATTATTGGTCAATATTTGACCTTTCTCGTTTGATCGTCAATCATAAACTATATGAAATTCTGTGCGGATTCCCATTACTAATTAATCAAGTACAAACTTTTGCAGGTGAAATAAATTTTCTTAAATAAAAAATTGATTTGTAGTGCTGAAGTCTTTCGAAACAGGAGGATGGTGTAGGTGTTCCTTTTGTCTTTAATCACAGCCACCCACACCCTAATTTTGCCGTAAATTCGAAATCCCTATGAACTCGATGAAGTGCGAATAGTAGTGAGTTTGTTCATGGGTGTAGGCGACTGCTTTTCGCTCACACCTAGCCTTCCCAAAGGTTATTGCATTGATAAAGACAATAAAAGTTGTGTTGCAAGGTAGAATTGAAGTTCAGGCTCTATTTCTCTAGAACATTTTTTTTTTATAAATAATTCATTAACTACATCATTAACACCAACTAAATTATTAAATATGGAAGACAATATGAAAATATTAGAAAGTATGGGTTTTACCGGTCTAGAATTAAATCGTAAGGTTTTGACTAGAGCTAAGAATGATATTAGAGAAGCTGTTACTTTGCTGACAAGCTCACATCTTTTTAATGATGACTTTATGACTTCCAACGAACATAGGCCAACATCAACATTTGGTTCACTTACTGAAAAACAAATGAAACGACAACAAAACGTAAAATTAAGATTTTAATTTTAACTTAAACCGCTTTTCTTTTCTCGTTAAAGATCACCTCAGATAAAACTTCCAGTGCATCATCGGATGGATTATCTATAGAAAATTCGAATTCATTTACAACAAGTGCTTTTCTGGATCTTGAAAAAAAAGTCTATGGAAACACATGGTCAATTCCTTATAAACGTAAATTTAATACGAATGAATATTTTCGCGAGTAAATGTTTCATTTGTTCATATTTAGGTGAAGAAAACCTTGGTCGTTGCCTTTTATCGGCTATAAGGCTTGCACTTGATGGTTAAACTAATAATTTGTTAATTTTTTTTGTAATTCTAAAATTTCAGGAATCGCTGATCAAGATGAACATTGCAAAAAATTTATGGAAGCTTTAGTTCCAGAAGCTTTTCGAAAAGTATTAAAAATTTATTTTGGTTTTTGTTTTTTATTGATTTATATTGTCATGCGTTAGTTGCAATGCTCTCATTCTATTAATCATTGGGGAGTTGTTGTTCAATTGGGTGTCTTTGATATGGTGCAATTATTAGTTGATCTAATAGCTGCTCGTCTTTCTTATTCTCCAGTACCAATACAATTACTTCAAACTTTAGCTATACTTTTTGATCATGATTCGGTTTTTCAACAAAAAAATAAAAACAGACCATATGATGGTTCACTTTATGATAAACAATTAGGTAAACGTATATTGGCTAAATCATCATCGATATTTTCGTTTTTTAATCAAACTGAACCCTATGGTTGGCTATGTGAAATAATAAATCGTTTTGTTTTAAAAGATGGAATAGAAAATTTAAAAAAACAATTTAAAAGTGTACAACCATTGACAGCTCTAGTAAGAATTCAAATATCGTCCTTCTTTCTAAATTTTCTTTTGTAATTATTTGATAAATATAGGAATACAATGGATTACTTTCACCTTTTGCTCAATGTATGGAATATCTATTCATAGATAAATATCAACAATTATTTAGCGAACATATTGAACAAGCGTTAGATTATGTTAAAAATCTGAAAGAAGAAGATTTTAAAGCAGAAGTTTGTTAGACTTTGATTGCTTTTTTCTTCTGAATAAAAGTATCTTTATATAAAATGCTTAGTCAACAAATTCAATATTTGAATTACTTGCAACTTTACGTAAAATATCTTCTGTTGTATGGAAAAACCGCGTTGCACAGATGGAAGAACTACATTTAAATATATTACTTAAAATGGTTACTCTATCAAATTTTAATGCTAAAATGAATTCATTAAAAGAAGTAAAATAATTTTTATGATTAACATTTTTATTTCATTGTTTTTTAGCTTTCAAAAATAATTGAAAATTGTACATCAAGTGTACAAAGTATAATTAAAACATCAATTTCACATGATGCTGTTACTAAATGGATTATCGAACATTCTATACTCTCAAAATCATTAGAAGGTTCAAATAAAATCCTTATTTTATTTATCTTGTATTTTATTTGAATAGGAAATATTGATCAAAAGCAATATATAGAAAAAGTTCAAACATTAATGGATTTCATCGCACCAAGAATTTTAAAAGAAGATATTGAAACAATATGGAAAATGCAGGTATATATGTTTCAATATTATTTATATCTTCTTTTTCTCGAAACATTTAAAAGATTAGTTGAATAAGATTTTTTATCTTTGTTTTTTATTTGTGCGTAGATGAAGATTTACTTATCTTTTGCTATAAATTAGATAGCAGAAAATCGGATAAGTCAAAGAAAAACACTTAAGAGAGCAAACAAGAATGGTTGACGTCTGAAAAGGATACATGCGAATCTTACACTCATTATATTAGATTTGAGGTGGCTATAACTTCAAGTTGCGTGCTCTCTAGAGAACAATAGAAGTTACGTTTTAGTTCGGTAATATTTTTAAAATATCACCAGTTTTAATAGAAGAATGTAATTAAATTTAATAAAGTTTGCAAAGAAGTAATTATTTACTAGTTGAAAGAAGGATCAATTGGCAATTTGTAAATTATAAATAATAGTTAATATGATAGGATTACACAGGGCCAGAGCCATTGATCTCGTAATACCATTGCAAAGGGTAACTAGAGTTTAAAGCCATAATACTCTCCTAGCATTAAACCAAAGCGAATCGACTTCTATATCCAAAGCATCACTAACAGTATACTGATCTACTTCTTGCCGAATGCGACATACGGCAAAGCACTTGAGAAGTTCGAGTTGTTTTGGTGTATAACCCCAAAACATATCCATTTCGACACAACGATATGCCTTAAGTCGTTACATTAAGCAGTAATAAACCGAAACAACTCAAATTTCTCAAGTTTTTCGATATACGTGTGTCAAGATAATTGAAGGTGTAAGCGTTGAATTTGTGAGAGAAGTGGGGCGTGGATGAGAGTATGTGAGCATCATCTGCGCTAGGTGAGCAGTTACACGCTACAGAGAATACAAATTGGAACGAAATATCTTCGTACTCTCTGGACTCTCAATGCGTTCTCGGAGTTCAGGAACTAAAGTGAAAGTCCAGAAAATATAAGAGTACGTCATTTTTTTATTGAATTAAACACGTTTTATATTAAATTTTGTGTGCTTCTTGTACTCCATAGACTTCCAGAGTACGGGAGTACATCGTTTTCCCCTTGATATATTCCGAGAATAATTATCACTTAAAATAACAACTAATGTTTAATGAGACCGATAAACAAAGAAATTCTTTAAGAATATCAACGTCAACAGGGTGTGGGTGTGAGGTGTGACTGCCAGTTTAGATCAGAAGAAAACTAACACATGCACTCACACACATCCACACCCTATGTTCACTATAAACTTTCAAAAAAAACAAGAACAACTTAGTGTTTGGTTTTTATTTCTTTGTCTTTTTTTAGTATGCTCGATCATTAGTCACAGTCGATCATTTATTAAGTCTGACTGCATCTGCCGCAACGAAATTTAATCTGGAACAACTTAATTATCTAATTGATTTTATTGATAACGTAATATAAATACTTTTTGTTTTTGCCCACATACTCAAATATAACTGAATATTATCTATTAGTCATGGAAAACTGAAACAATTCCTATACAAGAAAAGATCATTGAATTACTTGGTGCTATTGGTCGAGGATGTCAAAAGGATTGTGCTGCTCGTATTTTAGAAGTTCTTTGGGATATGGCTCATGAAGATCGACTTAATCGTTCAATGCTTGATCATGTTCTACATTGTCATTTGCGTGTATTTAATGAAGGTCGCTCACCTTATAATGCACTTAGACGTGATTATTGTCTTAAATGTATGACCTATTTACATCGTAAACAAGGTTGGTTTGTACCATCTATAAAACACTTACATGAATTATTACTTCATGATCCAACAAATACATTTAAATGTCCTGAACCTGATCTTATATCATTAGTAGTTAATAAGCATGATGTCATATCAGTATTAATACAAAGTTTATCAACATATCAATTAGATGTTTGGAATAAAACACATGGTCATGTTACTATTGAGACATCCGTGGATGACCGTTTTACATATGAAGAGTCAATTAAAACTCATTTAGATTTATTATCATTTTTATTAAAAAAGGGAAAACTTTATTTAATATTAAAACGTAGCGAAGAATTATGGGATATATTAATAACAAATGAAAAAGCAAGTTCACTTAATCGTGAACTTGGTTTTAATTGGTTTATAACATGTGTTGGAGATCTCAATGGGGATTCTCAAATAGCTTTATTTGAAAAACGTATATCAAAACTTGATCTAATAAATTTATCGCCTAAAGGTAGCAATTATAGATTGAATATTTAAAATACATTATTTGTTTTTTTTTCGGTATTTTATATTAACAAGGTTTTGAATGTTATAAATTATATTTTGCACGTTATAATTTGGAACGATGTAGACGAACAAGAAATTTCAATTACGATTCAAAGGTATCAACATCATCCAATGTAAGAATAAATAAAAGATTTTTTATATGAAAGACTAAATAGAACGTAGAAATCTTTCCTTTTATCTAAAATCATAGTGATAAATACTGAAGATCATGAGATAGTTTATAAATATATTGAGAAATTTGAATTTGGGGCAAAATCTTTTTCCAAAAAGAAGAAATCTCTTTGCAACAAAATATAACTAGCGATGTATACATACTATAAACGCTTTCTGATGAAATCTTTTTTCTGAAAGCGCATAGAAAATCTGTCTTTACCAAAAAATAGGTATGTGACAAGTGGAGAAATAACATTAGTCTCCTGAAAAGTAGCTGAATAATCTATTTCACTTATATAACTGCTGTTTCATTAGGCAGATTTTGTTCTAGCATATAATCCTTGTTCGTATGCGGTGAACAATTGTAGGCGAACTACACTGATGGTTGTATCAAATTTCTAATATGTGCAATTGGTGACGAGTGAAAGTGTGAAGTCAAATGTATTTTAATCATTGGAACTACAGTAATGTGTTATTTCATAGAGTAATTTAGGAGGTGAATTTTATACATTAAAGGACGATTGTGAGTGGCAGAGTAATGGCTTTTTTTTCATAATTCATGAAAATTTTCAAAAATACCATCATAATATTTTCTTTACATATACAGTATGATGTCGGGCACAATAGTATTATTTTGTAGAGTTTAGTTGATGGGAAAATGCTTTCGGCAGAAGTCTTCTTGATAGAAATGGAAACAATGATTACAGAGATCATTATAATATACGGTTATACGATTTTTGTTTGTTGTAAACTTGATTATTCTCTCTGTATCTAAACATTTGGGTCTTTCTTTAGACAATAAAGTTCGAAGATATTTATTAACACATTTGCAGCAACGAGGCCCACGACATGATGACTCAAAAGGATTTTTATCACAGAAAAAATTGGATATCTCTACCATATGTAAAGTAAAGGAGCTGACTGTTTTATCGCCCATAAAGAATGTTCATAGTTCATATCCATAAGAGAACTGTTAAACTCTTAAAACATGTAGGTTGTATAGGTTTCGATCAGTGTAGGTTAGCAACAAAACTTCCGCCCCTATTGCATTAGCCATAGAACAGTAATAATACATGCGGATTGTCACTTGTCACCATTGCAAAATTCATAACTATGGAATAGAAATACTTTATGAGTCAGAGGTCCCCTTACTCTGGCTATATATTATAAAACTTTGATTGCATTTTATCAAGCTATTCTGAAACTAGACGCATTTTTCTGTAAGTCTTGATTTACAGAAAAATGATTGTAATGACTCTCGCCGAAAACTCAGATCACCAAAACTCGCACCGAAACGGACATCGTCGAAATGAAGATTGCCGAATATATTTCAATTATCTATGCTCGTAAGTTTCGTTTCGTCAACACCGTTCTCGGTAATCAATTACTTCACTCACTTTCAGAACATATGTCACATAGATACATACATATGCATGACATCTAATCGACTGTGATATGTGGATCATCAGTTAAGACCTGACCTTTCCTTAGTCACTAACTTATTTAAGTTACCAGATTAGTTCCTAAGCTAAATTACTTCGTAGCTTAATTCGATTCCTAAATCGAGTTAGTGACTACCTTCACTTGATACCACAGTCAACTTAGTCACTAGCTAGGTACTTCATTATATTAGCAAAGTATAACAAATATCAATAGCCATAATAATAGAAGTTTTCTAACATTACAAATATCATCTGAGACTATCGCCGATAGTTTTAATCATTGTCATAAAAATCACCAACAGTGATATCACTGAATTTCGACGATGTGACTGTCGACGAAGAGCATATTTACCATCTGGTTGAACCTCTGATAGTTATTTATTTTTTTAAATATTTGAGACATCAGACTTCTTTTCATTATTCATCATGGAGTTGTCATAATACCCAAAAATAGGAAATCAACAAAAATGTATTGCTTTTATGGTTTTTTTATAGGTATTTTTAGTCTTGCAGACGCATACACAACTTTAAAACAATTAGTTGTTTTTTAAAGCCTTCATTTCATAAAATGAGAAAAGGAAACAAGATTTTTTCCTGTTCATATCAATAATGCTATTTGACGATTGAATTAATCAAAATAAACATTATATCATATACAGATGCTTAATTATCATTTTAATTTTTGTTTATTATCAAAGATAATCATTAAAATAGAAGAAGAATGTTGATATATATATATCTTTACCACAATATGATGATTGTTCAGTCTGTAAAATTTTGATATGAGCCATTGCATGTGATTCAAGTCTTATCCCTTTATTTACTTTCTTTTGCAATTTGTCTTTAGACATCATCGTCAGATATGAACTCATCAGGTGTAAATGAACATTCAGAACCGATAGCACCAACTGAAGTCACTTCACCAAAAATAAATTATGCTTGCATGACTCTCAATGATATATCATCATTAAAATTAATAGATGACTTAACTACTCAACAATTACAACAAATTCTTCTACATAATTTGGTATCGATTGCCGAATGTGTTAAAAGATCAGAATTAATTAGTAAAGTTAAATTACTTTATCATAATGAAAAACAAAAAAACGAATCAAATACCAATAGTAAAATAAGTTGTTTTTTTATATACTCTAATCATTAGTTGTTGATTTTTTTATTTAAGTCTCTAAAGAAGACCCCAACGAAAATTTATGTAAAGTTTGTTTGGATGCAAATATCGACTGTGTCTTTCTTAATTGTGGTCATCTTTGTTCATGTATTCGTTGTGGTGAACAATTATCTGAATGCCCTTTGTGTCGATGTGTTATCGCGAATGTCATACGCGTTTTCAAAGGTTAAAAAAATTCTTATTATCTTTATCAATGTAATTTATGAATACCTATCGAAATTATCTTAATTATTTGTTATTATATTCATTATACTAAAGCTATTTACAAACAACTATTTTGTTATGTTTGAATTCTTTTGTGATGAAAAAACAAAAAAAACTATTAAAGATATTTTCATATTTGAATTTCTATAATTAAGATATTGAAAAAGTAGTTATGATTATTCGTTGCTTAAAAGACATACATCATTTCTAGAGGGTGTGGCGTGTGTAGGTATGAGTGTGTGTAGGGTGTGGGGTGGCTGGATGTGGGTGTGATTAAAGAGAGAAATGACACCCACACCCACACTCTTCAAATGACATTTTTTATGAAAAAAAAAACGTTAGTAGGGAAAACTAGTTTGGCTGTAGATGTTGACGAATAGAAGATCCGCATCCACGCGTCCACATTCACACTGGTAGTGAATATTTGCGTTGTATGTCATATTGTTACAACTCACTAGAGTGGATAACTGAAATAAAATCAATTCTCCCTACTCATGTTAAACTACGATAGGTTTTATTTTATTGATTAATCTGATACACATTCACTCACAGAAATATATTTAAAAAAAATGTCCAGTTCGCACTGTTGCTCAACTAAAATTAAGCAGTATTTTCTATACTTTTCAATGTTAAAATAAAGATCGCATCAACATCGTTTTGATCAAAGATAAAAAATTTTAGTGTATAAAATTGAATATATTAGAAAAGAAAAATTATTGTCTTTCAAAATATGGTCAATAATAAATACTTAAAATCAAAAAAGGCTAAATTCATAAAAGAACACAAACAGAACTTTTAGCCATAGATGATCGACGGTTTCCATTATTTCCTGGATTGATACCTAATGAATAATGTTGTTCAAGTTGTTCACAACCTATTTAATATAAAGAAAATTCTTAAAAAGATATAATTAACTAACACTTACCACGCTTGTAAACTTCATAATTAAATTTTCCATATGAAAGATTCCTATTAAAACATATTCGAATAAAAAAAAAGAAAGACAAATCGCTGAAGACTATATAACATACTTATGTAAACCAGGTTTAAGTTTGAGACAAAAATGAGCAAAAACAGGTTTATGATCAGAATGTTTTACATTGTCAACAGATTTATATTGTGTACATACAAATTCTGATGCTTGTTCAGCTCGATGAAGGATACGATCCTATAAAAAAAATCTCATACATTTTATATTTATTTCAATCAATACTATGAATTAATCTCTCACATGTTGCACAACTTTTAACGTTATTCTCTCACGTTATATCTTTCAATTCACAATATACCATATAAAACTAATGACATGAAGAGAAAATCATGAGTGGTAGGACAGATTCCTACCATATTGAGGAATACAAGAAATACAGTGTAAGTGATGGTAATCAGTACGTTACTCTGTCGTATGATGGTAGGGTGACACGTAGCCTAATCAACTATTTGTCATGTCACTATATTTGACATGAAGTTAATTATCTTTAAACACGACATTGCTAGTGATAAACAAAAACACAAGCCTAGGATGATGATTATAATCGTCAAGACAGTCAAAACCTACTGTATACTTTTATTATATTTTAACATTCGTATTAAGAAAATCTAATTTTCTCTAAAAGTTATGTCCAATGCTAAGCAAGTTATATTAATTAGAGCAGATCTCTCTGATTACTCAACTATACATTATTCACATGTCGATTAAATAAAATCGCAAAAAAGACGAAAAATAATTTCTAATTCAATTATGAATTATTCTTACTGTATATGATGGTATTCGATTTTCAACATAATTATTAGTACCAGAACGTAAATCAAATTTATATGTTGGAGGAAAACTAATTTTTGATTCTTCAAAGTTACCATATCGATCATCTTATATAATAATAATAAACAAAATTTATTTGAAATTTCTTCTGAAAGAAAAAAAAAAGCAAAGAAACGTTTACTAACTTGTTTTCTGTTGTAACACAAGAAATTCATCTTTAAGTAAAACTTTATCATAATTTTGTCCCCTACAGAGATCTATTACTTCTTGATATGTCATATTAAGTCGAAAATTCATATCGCCAGCCCATAGAAAGCAATCACATGATTTTGTTTTATCTAACAAAATGAGCAGAATTCAATATATCAAGAAAACTCTTGTAAATTCAATAGAGAACTTACCTGCGTCTCACAGTGGGGAACCAGGCGGACATATACGAAAATATTCTTTGCCAGAATCTAACCCTTTGTATAGATATATGCATATGTGGTCTACCATTTCCTAAAAGATTGGTTCTCAAAGTTTTATAGAGTCCAAGAAAAGAGTCTGCCAAGATTTGGGACTGGAAATCAGCATAAATAAAGAAAAACAAGCTGCTCGACAATATGGGTGTGGGTGTGGGTAGGTGTGGGTGGGTGTGGGGTGTGGGTGTGGGTGTGGGTGGGTGTGGGATGTGGGTGTGGGTGTGGGTGGGTGAGGGTGTGGGGTGTTGGTGTGAATGAAGAAAAGGAACATCCACACCCACACCCTAATTACTGTAGTAGCGCCAACTCATGAAACCTTTTCTAGGCTATTTTAGAAGGTACTAAAAAAAATCCAAGGTCTCTAGCCGGAATATTCGGTTCTGAACATATGTACTATACTTCGAATGAAAACTAAGGTGATATTCGGCATCAACTTGTCGAACTGCATAAGACCATAAGTAAAAAGAGTCACTTTTGTGAAAGTCAATTTTTGGTGGAAAATGACCCATACAAGCTTTTGACCAAAAAATCCAGTTTTATGCATTCATAATACACTTTGAAGAAAAACTAAGATGATATTTGAAATCAGCGCATCAAACCAGATCGAATGATATTGTAGCTCAACATATTTTTCAAAACAAAAATTTCCAGAAAAGAAAGGCTGAGACCTTTCCAGCTACATTTTTTCGAAAAATTTTTTTTCTTAAAAAAGATTTTCTGAGTAGTATATAGTCTCTTCTAGTCAAATTAAAATTATTCCTAAACAAAAGAATTGCATGTCCGCCTGCTATGCGAAAGTTACCCACTGTGCGCCTGTATTTGGAACAGTATCAAATGACATTATTAAATAACTACGTTTTAAATCTTTTGCATTACCTAAAATTGGTAATGATCTATTCTGAATACGAGTTCTTTGAATAAATTCATGTGGTATTGATAGTTTATCTAATGTGTTTTGAAAGTTTAATCTTCGATTTGATCGACCTTCAGAATCATCACCAGCTAAACAAAGAAGAACCGAATATTAATGATTTCACTAACTGTAGGGAGTGATCTATAAAGAACATTCACGTAAAAAATTGTCGCCGCCGCCTTTGCATAACACGTGGTCAATGTAACTTCTGTTTTTAGAAATATAGTATTGTTTTTATTCAGAAATGATTGTATATTATCTAGAAAATCAGTTTTACGAAAATAAACCTTTTTTTTTCAAACATTCTTTTTCGACAAAAAATATCTGAAGGAAATTCTGATCTACAGCTTTTCGAGAGAATATTTTTTTTGTAGTAAACATCATCCGATGAAGTTTCACATATTGATTCCAAATATCATATTTATATGGAATCAAAACTTTCTACATTGAAAAAAATTGAAGATAACTAAAAGATATCTACTGTACACTTGAGAAATATTTGTGTTAAAGCTAGAGGGACATGCGATGAAAGTTTGCATGAATTCCACAGTCGGATGTGAAAGGAAGGTTCATTTTAGTGACAACAAATGTTTGAAATACCATTTTGGAGAAGTCTTAATTTTTTTTCTTAACAATGTTTAGTTGAAATTAAAATTTTTTTACTACCTAATATCTACGTGGGTGCATACTTTAGCCCCTATTCTGTCCAGTTTCATCGATTCCCCCTTCTTCCGATCCGGAATGTCCAGAATGAATAGAACTTTCAGAAAAAGTCTGTTTGTTCAAATATACTACTTCTCTTTTGTCAAAAACGATGTAAAAGGAGTGTTTAGACATTTGAACCCCACCGTTAGTCATGAGAAAGACATCCTGATAGACACCTTAGCAAAAATCTACTTGAGAGTACGAATAGAAGTTTATAGTGTTTCACACGTAAATCCCACATAGATTGTACTCACATTTTTTTTTGTTAGATAGCAGCTCTTTAAATAAAGACATCGAAAATAAAAATGAATGTCAGCATATCCAGAAAAGAGAAAACACACATTTCATAAATAGAAAACAAAAATTTAACCTTTTGTAAAGCGTTTTGTTTTTTTAAATATATATTATTCAAATGAAAAGAAAATAGATACAACAAAATTCATATTACTGCTGTGCAGAATAAACATCTCCTCATAAAACATCATCCTTCATTATTTCAACATCATATGCATATTTAACGGATTCAGATTTAGTTGATTTCATATCTAACAAGGCTTCAGAATATTCCAGAAAATTTTGTGAAAAGAAACAAAACATTCATAAAAAGCATCTGGATGTTCTTTATAGACGACTCCTAATTATATAATCAAACCTTCAAAATGTGAATTAATAATCATAAATGATGTGGCAAAAATATTAAAAGTTACAGCTAATGAAGCTTTTGTACGAATAGGATGGATAATTCGAAATCTAACAATATCTTCTTCAGGTTCTACACAAAGGGAAAAGTTACTTTTAGATCATACGTTTCCTTATTTCTTAAATACTAGTACAGTGCCACATTAGTTCTCTTCGCAAAAATATACATAATGATAAAGCACCAAAATGAACTGAATGAAATAAAACATGCCATGGACCAATAGCTTCTTGAAGTAAAATTTCCCAAGCATTTCTATAACAAACAAAATATATGTTAGATATAAATATTCATCTTAGTCGAGCGTGATTCCGCTAACTTCCTCCCATCGTTATGAATACCATATTCGAATCCTTTTCAAATAGGTTCATGTTATAGAGTTTTTGACCTGATCATTTTAGCTATAAAAAAGCCTAGTATTCAATGCTAAATAAGAGAGAAATCAAGAAAATATCAAAAAATGGATATTTCAGCCAAGTTTTCGATTTCAAATGTGCTCTTTTTCAATACCTTAGCCAGTTATCATTTTAATATTTTCTGAATCTAAATTTTATTAGGTTGTCAACAAAGTTCTTGCGTTTTTTTGTAATCCTCTAAAATATTCGCAAAGCTTCCAGAAGTTGCCATACCTAGGGTATATATACAGGGAGCACAAATATCTTGCGAACAACAACAAAATTACCAGTAAAGAAGCTAGTTTCGAATTAGAACTAGAGATTACTCGTAGAGAACTTCGAGTGCTTTTACTTCATAAATTCAGTTTTGGACCATACAGCAACAGAAACAGCAAGCAACATATGCAGCACGATGGACAACGTTGTATTCTCCATTTATACAGCGCAACATTGGCTCAATTGATTTAAGAATAAGAACTTTGAACTTGACAATTTTCCTCGTCCTGACGAGGAAAGTCAAAGGTTTGATCACTCGCTTTTCAAATTTTAGTGTTGCCAATTTATAGAGCTTATTCAGTTATTAACTGATATAATAATCAATCGAGCCAACACCGCGGCTTTAGAGTAAATTTCTGATAATCAAAGTTTCCATTAGCCTGTCCATACTCTATAATGGTACTATAGGACCACTATAGGGTGCTCCTATACGGTCTCTATAGGATCATTATAGAGTATGGACAGACTAAAGTTCTCATTCTTAAATGGACTGAGCCAATGTTGCGCTGTATAAATGGAGAATACATCGTTGCCCATCGTGCTGCATATGTTGCTTGCTATACGGCCCAAAACGAAATTTATGAAGTGAAAGCACTCGAAGTTCTCTACGAGTAATCTCCAGTTCTAATTCGAAACTAGCTTCTTTTCTGGTAATTTTGTTGTTGTTCGCAAAATATTTGTGCTCCCTGTATATATACCCTAGGTATGGCAACTTCTGGAAGCTTTGCGAATATTTTAGAGGATTACAAAAAAAACGCAAGAACTTTGTTGACAACCTAATAAAATTTAGATTCAGAAAATATTAAAATGATAACTGGCTAAGTTATTGAGAAAGAGCACATTTGAAATCGAAAACTTGGCTGAAATATCCATTTTTTCATATTTTCTTGATTTCTCTCTTATTTAGCATTGAATACTAGACTGCTTTATAGTCAAAATGATCAGGTCAAACATTTTATAAAATAGACCTATTTGACAAGAAGTTGAAAATACTTTTGTAAATCATGGGAAGAAGCTGGAGGAAATACCGTGGATACCTGTTTTGTACTACAGACATTTCTTGTGTACACATAATAATTAAATCGGAAACATGTTCAAGAGATAATGGTAACAATATATCACGCATATCATTAAGTATACGTTCTTTTTGTTGAGCTGCTTGTTCAGTTGTCGGTGTAATATTTTGTTGATATAATTTTTCTGCTTCACATGTATTCCATGTTGCCATCATTATAGTTAACAATTGTCCATTTTGAAAAGATGTAGAAGTATCATTTGCAATATTTTCTGGTAGTTGTTGTCCAGATTCAACAAGATAATATCTATCAAAAAATAGAAATTCTATTTAACATAAAATGAAAGAATAATAATAATAATAATATGTATTTTTACCCTTTTCGAGCATCTTGTGTCGTGAGTAAGCGAAAATGAGGAAATGCTTGTAGAACTGGTGCGCTAATTCGACGATGGGTATGGTGTTGTGTATTATGTATCGGTTCAACGACATCTTGTAGATCTGCTAATGGAGCACTATCGTTCGGTGCATTGATAGTACTATTATTCTCGGATTCTTCTGTAACTGTTGCCGTGGAAAAGGAAGCTCCACGACTTCCTAGTTGATTATTCTCAATTTCATCTGTCATTTTTATTCTTTATCTATGCATATAAGTTTAAATAGAAGAGAGTGCGGGTGCGAAGGCACGACAGCACACACACCCTCACTCCCCAAGCCTTCCCACACCTACACCTATATCCTTCTATGATTTCGAACCTTCATTTTGCTCCAACACCTATCACTATCGAAGGAGATTATAAATGATTTTACGATTCTTGCAGACAGACACAAAGAAAATAGTTTATACCAGCATGTCTTGCAAAAACAAGAGCTTATCTTCTTTTACTAGGTTATCTATTGGCTTCAACTAGTTTTATCGCGTTCATGGTTCAATACGCGTTTTAATGTAAAAGTTTATATTTAAAATTTTGCTTTGATGCGATGATTTCTAAAGATAGTTTTGCCGGATTAAGCTTCAACTAATTTGTTGTTATTTTAAAGCTAGATTTACCGTGCCTTTTCGAATATGCAAATTCAGATGTTCTAGAAGAAGGAATTTTTGTCGATTCATCACACATTCATTTAAGGGCGCCCCTCAGAAACGAACTTTGTTATTTTTCATCCGATTTCAACCAAAATTTCAGAGAATGTTAGTCTTAACTAGAATAGCTTATGGTTAAAATATCGTCCCCAAGTCTCAAAGAAATGCACAAGTTCTAGTCAATTCATTACCCTTTACGCGGGCAAGGATTTCGCAATAAGGATGCGAGCTAACATGCCGGGGCAGTTTTCAGGTTGTAGAGTACCCTTAGCGCTAGGTCGTAATAGAGCCTAATTTTTGAATTTCCAATTGTTTGATTTTTAAAAAACCTTTTTCGTAAAATTCATGAAATCATGCCTAAAAAAATTGCCAACAAAAATGAAATATATAAGTTTTTTATTTCACCAAAAGAGAAATTCAAAAATCAGACTCTATTACGACCTAGCCCTAACTGTCCTCTATTCAACAAAAAAAAATTATCCCCTATCTATTAAGTCGTTATTAAAAAATCCTTGAACGCGTAAACGGTATACTCGAAAAAATTGATTTTGAGAAAAACGGAAAATAAGTATTAGAAATCGATTTTTCCGAAAATCACCTAATTTATATATCAATGTTCAAGACAGGCTACAAATATGTGATCTTAATATTAAGTGTTCATAGTCTCTTAGTGATTAGTATAAAAAAAACCTTTACGAAATGCTGATGCAAAAAGAAAGCAGCCTAAAAAGTCGAAAAAGCTTGAAAAAAAGTCGTGAAAATTTCTCGAAAAATGCGATAGTAGGAGCGACGTTTTAGACGAAAAGTTCGTCAAAATCAATTCTTTTTTCGATAAACCATAGATATTCTGAAAGAGAAGACTTCGATGCATCTTCCTATGATAAAACTTCAATTTTCACTCGTCTCTGAAAAATTGGATTTACTGAGGGAGGCCCTTAATAAAAAGTGGCCTATGCAGCTTATTATGTTATATCTAATTGTTCTTCTAAATTTATGAGAATTAATTTTCAAAACTGAAGAAAACTAAAACTCTGACACAATGGATATCTTAAGTAATTGCTTAGTTGTCGAGGAGTCACATATGTGGCTATTATATTTCCATGGTTGATCTATCTAATCTGATGCTACAGTAAAATGGTACAGCTTAACTTCGATTCAGTTGAGACCCAGATACATAATTTGTACTCGTATAAATTTTCTCCATTTATATGCATGTAGAAATGACAATGAAAAACCAAAATTGATTGAATGTGTTATTCATAAGAGAAGAGTGTGGGTGTGTGGTGTGTGTGGATATAGGATGTGTGTGGATGTGGGTGTGAGTGTGAGTATGTGTGTGGGGGTGTGATGTATGGGTTGTTGGTGTGTCGGTAGGGGTCTCAGTTTCGGATTCCGTTCTCGGGAACTCGGCTAGGTTCTCGTTCGTGGAAACCCACGTACAAAGTTGAAAATTTGTTTCCATAAGCTTTTGACTCACCTGACACTTCTAGATATATGTTTCATTTCAATTTATACTATGTCACAATGGGTTCACGGGTTTCCGTTCTTGGCAACCTGGAAACCCACGTGAAAGTTTGTTTTTATGAGTTTTTCACCACCTTTAGATCTCTAGATATATGTTTCATTTCGTTTTGAACCAAGTCACTATGGGCTCTCGGGTTCTCGCGAACGTGAACCCAGAACGAGTTCGCATTTCTAGGGACCCGAGAACTCCAACGAGTTCTCGTTCTTGGGAACCCAGAACTCAATGCCACTCTAAAAAATCAACTACAGACTTTGAGATCCGAATTCGAGATAATACAGATGGACATTGAGCTCCGGGTTTCCCAGGACGAGAACCCAGGAATGGGTTTACGTTCCTGGGAAGTCGGGAACCCACAGTGACTTTGTATAAATTTGAAATGAAAAATATATCGTAATGTCAGAAAGGTCAAAAGCTTATATAAATGAATTTTCACGTGGGTTCGCGTTCCTTAGGAACAGAACCCAAGAGAGCGCGAACTCTGGCACCACCATGTGTCAGTGTTGGTGTGGATAAGCGGGTATGAGTTTGACTCTTCTTCAAAGATCCGTACCCACCCGTTGTGTCGAAAAACTACTTTGATGATTCACGTACAATTTTGCACTTTTGTGGATCTCATGGAGTAGACGACAGTCAAAGATACTGCTGGTGGTGTAATATTCATCTAATGTACTTGGGTGATTGGATAACATGGCACCTATTTTGGAGCTGGTATCAGAGAGAAAGAGCGGCTTCAACGTTTGTTGAACGTGTTTGAGGACAGTATGAACTGAGACCGATAACATGTCATGTCCCACTTATTATCCAAACCATAGTAGACGGATACGCAGTAAGTATGTATGATGAAGTAACTAATTCTGCTGCTTTGTTCGTTGGGATATGGGTTCTTGAAGAAGAGTCATATCTACAGCTACACGCCACCCACAGACACCCTCGATGTATGAATGGTTGACAATTTCAAACTTTCACAAAATGGCATCGACAATCATCTAAAGCGAAGAGAAAGAAACAGGAAAAGTCATAGGGATAGGGATCTATTCTACATAGAGCCTCTTGAATGTTAATGCCGTACAAAAGAAAGAGACATTCTCTATCAGCGAAAGATTTAGGAAGAAAATAAACTATGTTCCCATGGACATTTGGTTGCGCTCGGTTTTCTGTACAGCCTTTTATAGGCAAAATTTTTATCATGGGATGCAGAGTTTTTTTGTGAGTCAGCAAGCGATAAGAGAGAACCTTTATCAATAGGCTGTAGTTGGCTTTTTCCAGTTTACAAGGAAGTATTGACTAATTAGATACAATAATTTTTAAAGCTCGGATATCATCTAAATACTGACTATAAATACTCATGTACATAATGAAATCCTTATTGAAGTAGTCTTGTCAGCGAATACATTCGATCAAAGAACCATCTTTTTTCTGTTCATCATAATCGCTTGTGAAAGAAGGCATGGGTGTGGGTGTGGATGTGAATGTGGGTGTGTGTGGGTGCGGATGTGAATGTGGGCGTGTGTGGGTGCGCATGTGGGTGTGGGTGTGAGTGTGGGGAGGGGGGTAGGGATGGGTAAAGAGAGGAGCTAAACACCTACGCTCACACCTACCCACCCACTCTCTCCCACGCTCACAATCGCCGACACCCACATCCTAGCTGTCGACATTTATGAAATGCAAAAAGATGATTTTTACACAGATTATGCCTTTGATTTAAATCCGAATGTTTGTCGTCGTTATGCAGGGACACGCTTTATGTGTTATAATATCATGAAAACAATTTATATCATCTTAAATAATCAAATTTCATCTGACATATACAGACAAAACGGAATTGATATCTATGACAAATATAAAAATCAATTTTAGTTTAATGGCAAACCTGCAACGAATATAGCTACAATTGAAATACGTCCTTTTGTTAAACTAGGTTATTGATATCAGGTTTTTTTTAATTTAATAATATTCTTTTGGTAATTTTTTATGATATTAATCGCAATCATATGTGCTAAAAAAATCTACCAAAAATTTTCTTTTTTGTCTATAATTGTGAGCAATAATTATATTTATAAGTCATGGTTTATGTAAAAAACTCAACTATAATTTTATGTTCGCAACAAAAGAATACATCTCGTCAGAAAAGGACGCGTTTTGAGAACAAGAGAAATATTATTGATTACGAAAATCGCGTTGTAAGAATGTAAAATATTAGAACTAGACAGTATATCTTTGATTTCCTGAATAAATATGATATACAGCAACTTCATTTATATGGAAAATGAAATTTGATCTGAAATTGATACTTTATGATCGTGTTTCGTCCTGTTCACCAAAATACGACTCATCATCATTATCTGTTGTTGATGTCAATGTTGCACGTCTTGAATTTAAATTTGGCACTTATATTTGATCATATTTTATATCTGTAGCTATTTGATATCTATGACATTTGTCTGCATCATGATACCATACAGTTTGATCCATTTTAACAGCAAATAATTGTGATCCTTGTGTGCATATTGTTTACAATATTTTACATCCGATAATCCGTCTCCTTTTCGATTAAATTCAATTTTTAAATCGAATCATGTACGCTCAATGCCTGTACCTGTTTTAGGTGCATTAGCTTTTGCAGCAACATAGAAAACGTACATATGTTGTCTGTCATGGTAGTAACGAAACAATAAAGACCTGTGATGTGTCGTAGATAACGTTACTATAAATATTCTTTCGTGTTAAGCAGTTCTTTTTCATTTCGTTATTTTCTTTTTCTTCCTACTATAATCTTTGACAAACAAATATCGAAGTTGGAAAAAAATAGGACCATATACATAATTCTATATCTTGTATATGTAGGCATTGATAACAACAAAGTCATGAAAAAATAACGTCACTATGATCTTCTAATGGAAGAATTTTACTTTCCAGCCGCTTAGTTTTTGGTGGAACAGTGCTGGTATCAAGTAGGGTGTGGATGTGGGTGTTCGAGAAAAGAAAAACAACATCCACACCCACGCACACCCACATCCTCAAT